ATGCGCATCGTTTAGACTTATCAAGAAAGAAAAACATTTAATACAATGAAAGCTTGTAACACTATATCCAGTTTTAGAGTAATGATCCGAATACGTGATTTGCCACCTTTAAATTTCGGTGTACGCATGTGACCAGAGACCCAAGGTGGTGCATATAACTTCAGCGACGTTCTCATTCATGACAGCGTCAAAGTATAATTTGCACATTGGTCTCAAAATGCAATGGTCACTTAAGTTTTGATTTTATCAAAAAGCACAAAAAACAACTCGTACTATTTTACTTGATTTATGAAGTTGTATTACGTTTAGCGTAGATTACTTGGTGTGATACTGATATTTCAGAAAGTTTCGATTTTATTCCATTGCTATTAACAAATGAAGCCAGCTATGTAGTCAACAAATTTACTTCCACATTGAGAGGCCCTCGCATTAATCTTGAATTCTAAGCAGTACATTGTAGATTTTACATTCTATTACAGTAACTATTTTTATTATATATACTTAACTATGACCAAAATGAGGCTGAGGCACAAAAAATGTTTGCATCTGTCCACGGAAATCAACTTATATCTTGGTTTGCCCTAATAGTCTCTAAATAATTCAGACGCTATACTTCAAAACACCCGAAATAATAACTTTGATATAACAACAACTACTAACCATGGACTTTGAGTACAACCGTTAAAACTCTGCGTATCATGATATGCTTTTAATAACCCGGGTTTTATTTGTCGTTGGAACCAGTTGACCACCAAAGAGGAGAGATTTTTTGTTTTATTTCAAAGCCAAGTTATCGTATATTGTAATGTATTTGTTTTTCATTATTATTTAATATTCTCATTTTCCTTGAAAGATTGATAGTGTATATTACGAAATGAACACATTCCTAAGTTGTTGCTCCAATGATAATAACTTTATACGAAAGACAATAAAACTAAAACAGGCAAGACTGCACGATAGGCTTAAGCAGTGCTACTGGGATGAGAAGTGGACGGCGGTTCTACGTGATACATGTTTAATATATTAATAAAATGTGAGTGTTGTCGTTATATTCATGGGATTCAAGAAGGAATTTAGAACCATAGTATTTAAAAAAATCGCATGAAGTCGGTATATTATGACGAACTTTGGACGAAACGCAGGTAAACGTACATTCTCACTTTCCTTTAGCACTCTTCGCTCTTAAAAATAAATGTGTTTTGTTAAATTTTCAGCTACTGTTCGCATTCTTATGGTTAATGGAGGACTGCCTTCACTCTTTAGTATAGTGGCGCCACCTATTTTACAATACCAACATATATATATATAGGAATCTGAAGAATCCTGTCTCCCGCCCGGATATTTGTGACGCGTTTTTTGTCGCTAGTCATACATCCACTGCACATGTATCATAATGAGGTTCCAATCCCACACTTTAGAAGCGTTAGTGTCTCGCCTTGTTACACCAAAGTGCTTAAATGCGTAATTTGGCAAAGCGCCATTTGGCACTAGCTAGAAACCAAATAAAATAATTAACATATCTTCTTAGCGTTTAAAGAATAATGCATATATATATATATATATATTTCAGTTAGTTGTTATGATTATTATGACGTTAAATGTTGGCGAAACATGTTTTTACTTGTATCTGTTACTCTGACCTTTCCTTGCTTTATAGGTTTGAATATCGCAAAACTTTTAGTAGCTTTTGTGAAGAACGTTTATTTATTCTTCGTTGTTTGAGATACTGACTAGCTCTCAGCTGAACCAGAGACCCTGCAGTTAGCAGCCTGCATGATTATCGATCTATAAAGAGTTGGTTGTGTGACTATTGGTCTCCCTGTTGAGCTCGTCAAAGCAAGAAAGGTTACTCCTTTCTTCTCTGCTTCCAGTCGTCTTGCTGCGAAAGTTGCATGGTTCTTATGAACCACGAACTTCGGTAGTATATCTTAGGGATACTGAGCCTATAAATTGCGTGCTTTTGTCGTAAAATGAACTATTTACCTTAATATTTTTTTCCTGTAAACCTGTTCAGCATCTAGTTACATCGCATTATGTTTCTACTGTTTTCAATTGAACATATTAGTGAAATATAGAGATAACTTATTCTGCCTCTCTGCTGAGTCTGTGCAATGTTTAACTGAATTAGAAACTCCACTCACAAAAAAAAAAATCGCCTAATGTATTTTATTTATGTTTTTGCCCCTCTAGCGATATTACTTACTTCACATCATAATTTTTCTTCTCTTTGTTCAGTTGAAAATAAAAATTATTTGATAGTCAAAAAGTCCCTCAGTGACTCAGCGGTAAGTCCTAGGGTTTATGATGCTAAAAATTGTGATTTTATACCCGCGGTGAGTAAAGAACAGATAGCCCATTGTGTAGCTTTATGTTTAACAATCAACAAACAATACAATCAGAGGATAAATTTGATTAAACTGTCTCTATTGTTGTTGTTTAAAACTCAAATGTGGTTTGTTTGTAAAATTTATTTTTGCTTTTTAAACAACATATTAAAATATTTGGATTTTTTTTGGGTTACTTGTGTCCTGAAAATGGTTATAAAACGAGAAAAAAATCCTTCGTTTATATGAAGCGTACTAACAATACAGAAAATATAAGTAATCATCATAGCATCCCGGTTCTAGATATTATTTACTATGTAAGAATGTAATACTGGGCTTTTCAGTTTCACTAACTCAGTTTGTATTGTGTTTTTTCCTCATTTAGAGCTATGTTGCTCTTTTTTAGTGCACGTTAATATTTCCTTCTAATTTTATATTTGTAACTGGCGAAAACTATTGTATCAACGTGACGACATACTGAGATTCGTTAATGTTCGAGTAACTGTTTTTAATAAAGAAGAAAAAAGGGAAACATTTTGAATTGAAACGTAAGCAATATGTGCCGTGAACAAACTGAAAAAAAAAACGAGGTTTGTAAATTAATGTCACAGTTGTAGCGAGCACCATATGCGCCATTAGGGGTATTCAAAAATGCAATAATAAATACATCAACCATAACTTATGAACAATGCGATATCACCTTCTTGACTTATTCCGTCATTGACACTTTAATCATTAGTGTTATTTCATTACAGATATGTCAGACTACCATAGTATTTCTGTTGCGAAGTTTCTAGGCTGTTCTGTTAGCCATCCATTTGGATTCTATCACTGTAGACACATTTGTTGACAAATTGTAATCCATTGTAAGATCTTCATGGTTACAGGGTTTATTCAATCTTGTAACATTAATTTTTCTTGTGTCTTTCTCTATTCAAATAGATGTGCCTGTCACACTTAAGTGCTTTATTGCGTACATGCCGTCTAATCTTAACGTTTTCTTAAAACGTATCGTTCAAAGTTTAGAACTTATTGCTGTGAAGGCCTAAACTAAAATAATTAGAGAGTGACATTGAAGGGAAGTTTTTAAAATTTCAAACAATGTAAATACTTTTTACATAATTTTTCAGTATCATTTTTATGCGTTTAAATGAGTAATATTATTTGGTTTAAACTGTTTACTACCTGTTTTTATTATGTGTAATAATGCTAGTTTATTCTGACCACCATGGTTTATGTTGAACAAATAAAGGTGAAATGAACAGCAACTGTCTAGTTCAGAGTGAAATTTGTAAATAATATCTTTGAGGACTAGTCTAAAAAGTAGCTCAGATAGAAGGAACGTTTCGAAAGCTTTCCGTTTTTCTTCTTCAGAAAGCCTTTCGAAACGTAGTTCTCCAAGAATTGTCTACAAGTGTCATTCTGGACTTGCGGTTGTTCCCAGTTCACCTTTGTTTGTTAATCATGAATGCTTTGCCTAAATGTTCCATAAAAGAATGGTTTAAGTCTTTGTTAAATCTGTTTATTGTGTATAATGCATGATAGCTAATCCTGTCCACCATTGTTTAAGCTGTTTGTTATATCTGTTTATTGTGTATAATGCATACTAGTTTATCCTAACTAACATTTTTAAGCTGTTTGTTATATATCTTTATTGTGTATAATGCGTACTAGTTTTTCCTCACTAACGTGGCTTAAGGTCTTTGTTAAATCTGTTTATTGTGTATAATGCATGCTAGCTTACCCTGACCAACATTGTTTAAGCTGTTTGTGATATCTGTTTATTGTGTATAATGCGTACTAGTTTATCCTCACTAACATTGTTTAAGCTGTTTGTTATATCTGTTTATTGTGTATAATGCGTACTAGTTTATCCTCACTAACGTGGCTTAAGCTCTTTGTTAAATCTGTTTATTGTGTATAATGCATGCTAGCTTACCCTGACCAACATTGTTTAAGCTGTTTGTTATATCTGTTTATTGTGTATAATGCGTAATAGTTTATGCTGACCATCATTCATGCGAATTGTCAGAGCCGTTGCTGGTTATAAGAACATTTCGACAAACGGTAGCTAAATGACGAGATAAAATAAAACTGGGAAAATGACTGGAAGAGAAGGTCCCGAGAGTAATGAAAAAAACATTATCAGTTTGAGCTTTTAGGCAATACATGAAAAGCATAGTTTAGCCTCTTAGACAGTATAGAAAAACATTAGGACTATGAACTTAGCAAAGCAATACAGAAAACGTTGATTTTTGTTCTTATGTTTCAAGGAAAAAAATATTTGGGGTTTGGTATTCACTAGAGAAAATACGGTATAGATGGGAGTCATGTGTGGAAAATGCTTGGTGATTTTGAAATTGGGCTTGAGCGTAGCTAATTTTAATACATCCTAAAAGGCAAAATATGTACATTTGTGTTATGTGACGCGTTTTGTCTAGAAGTTGTTTAGGATTTATTATTTTTAGTTATATGTATTATTGTAGTTTTACTTAACAGATTTACCAAAAATTGAAGATGCTGGGATAATTGGTACTATAGCAATACAGAAAAGAGCAATTCCATTTTCTTTAACTTTAAAAGTTCTTTTTATTAGTAGTTATTTCTTGATTTTTTAAATAATTAAAATATGTAGCTCTTTGATAATACGAATTGGAAATATCACCCATTCTCTAGACGAAAGAACTCGAGTGTGCCTTGTAAAGCTCATATATTATGTCAATATCTTTGCTGATGATTGTGTTCGGATGAGTGCTCATTGCTCGCCACGCTGGGAAGCCTCCTGTTGCCGCTGTGCTGACAAAGCGTTATCGGTGGAAGGAGAAGGATCCTTCTGTGCCGAATAACTGCCTTTTTCTGTATAGCATTCAGAAAAGAATCAATTTCTTTGAACATACTGAATTCTTTCCTCCACGCTTTTCACTATTTCGTTCACGACTTTCTCATGCTGTACTTTTTATTACTTTTGTTCGTGTTTTAAGTTTAAAATTTGTTTTCATTTGAATGACCCTGTGATTTGAAATATCGCAATTAGCCATTTCAGTGTTATTTGAGTTTATTAATTTAAGCTAATTTCATTATACGCAAGTAGATGGACGCTGAACTGATACTATCAGTGTCCTATCTTGCCTCTTAACAGGTATAATTTATACAGTGATTACAGTCATAGGAAATACTTCATGATTAAGCGTTGAAAAGAGTGCTAAATAAAAAGATGGTGGTAATGAAACTATAGTTGATACCGTAATCAATAAATACAGTACAAAGCTTCCATGTACTACTTAATACTTAACTGTTTGGTGTAATATTTATATTCACAGGGACAGCTTTCAATGTAATTGAGTCGTAACGGAAAATTTTCACGTGATATTATATTCTAAACACAGTAATTAAACGGAGATGAAAAAATGTTTTAGGTAATATCCTTCATAAATAAAAATAAATACGAGTGTGTCAATTAAATGATTATAAAAAGAGAAAATGGTACAAATTTGCATGTCTCAACGAATGGTGTGAATACGTCAGTGAAAACGTAAGCAAGTTGTTATTTGTTAAATTTCGCGCAAAGCTACTCGAGGGATATCTGCGCTAGACGCACCTAATTTTGAAGTGATAGACTAGCAGGAAGGTGACTGGTTAACACCACCCACCTCGTAAACTGTTCTAATTGAATAATGGGATTTGACCGTTATTCTTATAAACACAGGGTCCTGCTCAGCCTCGTGAATAGGTACGTAAAAAATTCTGTGGCGATAGGCCTTGTGATGAATATCTTGAGACCAAGTGTATTTGAATGACGATAAATCCATAACAGACACTAAAGGTTAATCACGCAATATTTCTTAATGTAACGTGAAACTTCTTTTATTTCATTTATTTAAGTGCTATCCACTTCTACCATGTTGAATTGCACCGCACATGAACATATTGTTATGACCGATAGGACCATTTAATCAGATTTTCCCAAATGACTCTGTAGTTGTGTTTTGTAATAACGCGTTGTTAATCTTTAAAGAAAATTAGGTTATACAAGAATGCCGAAATCAGTGTGATATAACTTTCAAAGCATCATGAAACACTGTAACTTGCAAAGCAACATAACTTATTATAATTTGCAAAGCATCATGACATATTGTAACTTGCAAAGCACCGTTACTTGTTATAACTTGGAGAGCACCGTGAGTTGTTATAACTTGGAGAGCACCGTGAGTTGTTATAACTTGGAGAGCACCGTGACATGTTATAACTTGGAGAACACCGTGACATGTTATAACTTGGAGAACACCGTAACATGTTATAACTTACAAGTAAAATTTCGATTGTTTAGTCAACGTTTTCAACTGTCGCATAAAAACTACTTTCCAACACATGTATTGATATCACGCTAATGTTGTGTGGCTTATGATTTAGTTGTCATAAAACTACTTTCTGACACAAATATTGATATCACGTTATTGTTGTATGGTTTGTGATACAGTTGTTAAAACCTCAGTAAATGATGGCTATGGTTTGTATTTTATCATTTTCGTTTCTACTCGCCCCGCCCCCCAGTGGCACAGCGGTATGTCTGCGGACTTACAACGCTAGAAACCGGGTTTCGATACCCGTGGTGGGCAGAGCACAGATAGCCCTTGTGTAGCTTTGTGCATAATTAAAAACAAACAAACAAACTACTCGCCCCCCAGTGGCACAGCTGTATGTCTGCGGACAAACAGTCGTTTCTTTTATCTCGATTTTGTACGTTGATATGTTTATTCAGGCGTTCTGTAATAAAACTAAAATTGAGATCCTTTATACTCAAAAAACATTATTCATATATGCAGCTTTGATATAAGTTAAAAACCTAATAATGAAAATACTAAATAATTTTAACACTCAGTCTTTGAATCTACAAGACTGAATTCGAAGTGTTGTGTAGGCTACAGAGGGGTGTCACTGTTTCCGGTATTGAACTTAGAACCAAAAAGTATACTTTTAACCTCAAAAAGCCATATTTTGCTACCAAGCAAACCCTCCTCTCAAGATGCGGAGCTTGAAAGGTTGTCTGGACTATGTTTCTCTTGCTCAAAATAGTAGAACCCGGGTGTATTGTATTACGCGGCATTTACGGCCACTACCGTGTTTTGCATTGGATTTTGGATTGAGGTCTGGGTTTAATTCCCTCATAGCTTAGAAACTAGTGCGAATTCGGCCACGCTGGTGAGCAATTCAGATTCCAGATATCGCAAGGAGTTCAAATATGTATTCATAATTTCAAAAATAGGGTATCGGAAAGCTTTGTTATGGAATCAACTCGCCACACGTATCACTGACTCGTAACTGGGATGAACTATTACCACTGAATATATGTATGTGTGTGTGTTTTATCCATTTACTGTCTCTAGTTTTAAACGTTGCAGTACGAAGCTCTATGATTAGGTTACTAAAAAGTCGTACTAATCGTCTTTTTCTAGCCTTTAACAAGTAAACTCGGTTGGTGATAAGCAAAAAAAAATAACATTTAAATAGCGAAATGGTAGTAAAAACAAGATCTAACTTTAACAGGGCTTAGACATTTCTCTGCAGTGATTTTAGCTCGGTTAGTAATATCAATTAGCTAGTAAGATCTTCAAACGTTCGTACTGTGATGAAAAGATTTAAGAATATAAGAATGTGAGGGCTTCTAAAATGTAGTATTTATTGTTATTAGTACCACGGGACTATAACGTTGGCGTTCATTTATAATTTTTCGTGATCCTTTTAGGGCTAGTGATGAACTCGGCTTCGTGCAAGTGAAAGTATGTTAATTAGTATACTGTAACAGAAGCTTAATTAATCCAATTTAATAGTCAACTTATCAATTAAGTTAAAGTTCCAATTTTGAAAATCGTATTGCATTATTAATAAAGGCATTTGTTCTGGTTTTTGGGAGTGGTCATTATTCATCAAGGGGGCCTGGGAAATTTTGAGGTAAGTTTTCAGTGCACGCAAACCAGAGGTCGATCGCTATTTTTTGTACACGTAACAAAAAGGTGAATGATCATTTTTCTGTACACGATAAAAAAGATATAATATCTCAGGATACGTTTTATGCATACACTGGAAATAAAAGCACGTAAAGCACAATCGTCGTGAGCTTTGAAATATTCTACTTTTTATTTCATTTTAGAAGTTAAATTAAGAGTCAAATGTCACACAAAATCAGTCTTTAGTCACAAATGTCCTATTTCATCTTTTGGTCATAAAGTGGTAAGTAGTAGTGTGTTTATTTGTTGTGTTGTATTTTAAAATATTCCTGCCATTAAATGTTCAGCATTGAACACTAAAAGCCCCATGTTCTCAAATAGTGGAGTCAGCCCTTGAAATTATAGTAATTCAAATTACATAAATCATGTTGAAAACAAACAAATCTAATATATTTAAACTTTAAACGATTGTCATAACTAATAACCAGGAAAAACACACAATAGGCTGTGCCTTAAAAAAACTGATAGGAATTTTGAATATGATTTAATTCGTTTACTTATTATTAAAAACAGGCTATTTTATAAAACGGATCATTCTAGGCCTAAGCTAGAGAAAAAGTGCACAATAAGGTGTATTATACAAAGAAATGTAGTCGAAATGTTCCCACCTTTGGAAATGTTAATATATCACCACAATATTTCTCCAGTAGGGACAGGTATATTCATGAAGTTCATGAACTGGTTGAATTTAGAATATTATTTATATTTTTCCACGTTTTTTTTTCATGTGATCTTTACATGGTCAAACTCTTTTTTTTTTAATAATTTTGTAATATGTGGTAATTTGTTTCAGATACTTCTATAGGTAGTATGTATATTTGTTAATGATGAAAAATTATACATTTTAATCATGACAAAATAAAAACATTTTTTAAACTTTAATCCATCTTTTGTCCTCTTTCCTTTCCTTTTTTTTTTTTGAGTCGCTTTGAGCTATGAATTAGTAAAATACATGCCCACTTGCCCAGAGGACTAGTAGATCTAATTTTTTCCAGTCTTGCTAGCCAGGTGGTAAGGACGCTTGACTCTGAGGGTCGCGGGTTTGAATCCCCGCCCCACCAAACATGCTCGCTCTTTCAGCTATGTAGGCGTTATAATGTGACAGTCAATCTCACTATTCGTTGGTAAAAGAGTAGCCCAAGAAATTCCTCTCCCCCACTATTTACCACTCCCTTCCTAACTCGTGAATCTAAATTATAGAGCAATAAATACATTTTAAACATAATAATCCAAGCTCATAAGCTAATTTCAGACAAGGTCAACCTGTCTAACTTCGAATTTTTCAACAACAACAAAAAAAAAAAGATTTGTGTTTGCAGTAATTTTTCGTGTAAAGTCAGCACAAAAGTTACCCATCCAACATGAAAGGAATTTTTGTATGTGCTATTTTAATAAGCCACAAATTTTTTACCTACTACTACAGTATAGGAAAACTGTGAGAACCAGTTGCTCTTCTACTTTGCAAATTGTGAAGCGGCCATTCGGGTCCTTTTATATATGAAAGCATTTGTAGATAAAAACTGTGTTTTTCAGGGTCTTATTAGAAAAAATGTTCGTGGTACATTTTTACAGTAGTTGAAGTGAATTAAGAATATATACATATATACATGTTTTTTTGTCTGCAAAGTTGGAGCTTTTCTCTTTTTTTTATATTATTTCATTAGCTACCTACAGACAGATAAGACAATACTGCATTGCTAAATTGCAGACTATCTATATAAACCCGCTGACTTTTCAACGTAAAGAAAGCACTGTTTACATTCCTTTACACAAGGCGCTTTAAATACACAACTAGTTTTTGGTTGCCTATAAAACCGTTAACAAGTAGAGTAAATAAGGCG